TGTGCAATTGCATATTTTCCACAATGAGGTTGGCCATAGAGTCCAAATATCAGTTACTATGTGTAAAAGCGTGATCGAAGAGACTAGTGAATGATTACCCTTTGATTCAACGAGAATGATAGCTGGAAGACGACTGCTCGCGCGACGCAGTCTGTGTCTCTCTCGGGTAAGTGCTTTCTGAACTCCTTAGTCTTAATTAGGTCACGGTCCCGCCTTCCAGCCGTCAGTCCAAAAGAAAATCAAAGGGTAGCTAGTATGCACTTCTTACCTTTTAGACCCATGCCCACCTTTGAAGTCGTGAAGAAAATGTGCAGTTGCACTACAACCGGTACATGAACTATCGCAACTTGAAAGTGCAAAAAATACGTGAGTGAAAATTTGCATGGGCGCTGCAGCAGGTGCCTTGCACACACGGATTACTTGCTCTACAATAGAAAGTGCACACACTAAATCGTTGATCAAATAGTAGGGCGAATCGATAGGGGACCGGCACCTCTAGAACAACCACCAGCTCCCATTCAAACCTATTCGAAACACTTTCTCACCTCCCCTCCTCTGTGTGCAACTTCTTCAACATTTGCTAAAAGCACTTTACAAACACATTTCCACAAACCACAATGCGATTTTGCTCTAAACGTTCAACATCACATTTTGTTCGATCACCCCCTCGTTATTGTTCGAGTTTTGCACGATTATGAGCACTTTTTTATCGGCTCTGCACTTTTTATCGATACTCCACGATGCGGCAAGCATTGTGCTTGCTCTACAGTCTTATTGTACTTTCACTTGCACTTTGCTATTTGAGTGCTATCATTGGGCCGAGACTTATGAGTTTTCAAGCTTTCAAGAATTGTAAAAAATCCTTGTCATTGCTGTAATTGCAGAGCAGAAGCAAAGATAAACAATACGATCACCACGATAAATGGGCAGAAGTTCTCCCCCTTTATTTTCAAAATTTTCGGTAGACCTAGAAAGTTTTCCATTTTCCATCTTTACAGGGTTGCTCATTAGACTGACTGACTGTTCCGAATTTCATTGACGTGTCCTCTATCATTGCTTGGTAGATCCCTAACTCTACGTAGATCGTTTGATCGGCACGAATATTTTATAACTGTTTCCAAAATTACTACAGTATTTCAAGGTTCTATTGATCTGGGATCAAAAAAATTTGGAAGTGCATTTTTTTGTTGCGCTGCATCACTCACACCTATGCTAAATAGAAAACCGTTCTTCGGTCCTGGCTGTGTCTAAGAAAACTGGTTTATGATTCTCTCTCCTTTTCACAATCAGAGTACGAATTTTGTTTGAAAAATAAAAGAAATTTGCCAAGGAATCGTTGTTGGAATTGTTAGCCATGAATTTGCTATAGAAAGATTGCAATCATGTTTCAGCTAACAATAAGTATGCTTCTAACTATCAATGTAAAGTAAGAAAATGTTGATAACCTTTTTTAGGATCAAAAAAATTTTTTCTCGATATGGGCAGTTAAGGAATTGTCACAAAGTGTTTGAAAGTGTTTGAAGCTCGTGATTTTTAGCAAATGCTTTGGACACAATTTTTTAATTTCTTTAGCTGAGCATCAGGCATTCGTTCTGAAATTTCCTCAAGTCTAGGTATCCTATTTTCCACTCTTTTGTCAAGATATCAATTTGCATTCGGTCAAGAACTGCACAACACATGCCTTAATTTTGAAACCAAGTTAGTCTGATCTTACCCCTATCATCTGCTTTAACACATCATTGACGACCGCTTCACACACATGGTGTGTTCAAGGGTTGACACACCATGTGTATCGTTGAAATGGCTACTATATTGTATTTAACCCACTTCGGGAGTTTTCTTTTGTGCTGGATCTAGACACAACCTTACCCGTTTTTGCCAGCTTTTCAGACTTACTGTAGGTGTACTGTAAAAATTGCGCGTGATTTTATCTAAAAAATGTTGACCGGTCCGTGAAACGCCTTGGTCGTCAATGTGTTAACATGAGATTCAGAATTACAAAAATTGACACATTGAAATCAACTTTCTACTCCCAGTCCGCGTTGATGTAGAGTAAAAAACCGAATGTGCATAAGAAAATCATTTCCAGCTGCTTTTATGTTTGTTCATTTCCCGCACCCTCCTGAGCCTGAGCTTACAAATAAATAAGTATGAGTAAGGTCGTATGATTGTTGTTGTTGCTCCTCTCTCCACCTTCTATTTTTATTTTGATTCAAACAATATACGTAAGGAGTTATGCAATCCTATTACTACTTTCGCTTGTTTACTGTTTACATCAGATTTGTTTTGCATTTTTTGCACTGCTCCATTCTTCGCTGCGTTCCTGATTCCTTCTCCCTTCCACCCACCCATCCTCCCCTATTTTGTCATCATATGCCAATCCGATCCAGTTCATCCAAAATATTTATAGGGTACCCTTTTCATTGTGAATGAGTCACTCAGTCACCTGACTGTGGTATTCTCTTACTCATGTCTGCACTATGTGCAGTGCTTCAATTGCTTTGTCACCTTTTTTCCTCCCCCCTTCAAAGGGTGGAGGGGGGGGGGCATAACATCATGAATAGCCGTGGCTGCTTCTTTATGATTATGAATCATTGGGTGGAGAAAACCTAGGCTTCTCCTCTAAATGTCACTGCTTGATTAATTTCTTTCCCTTGATTTGCAACTCCTTCTTCTTTCTGTTTCTCCGCGTGTTCTGTAGCCCCCCCCCTCCAAGACCTCCCATAATCTTCAACCTATAAAATCGTCTCCAACGATGTAAACATTTTTCACTAACGCTACAGTTTACCTTATTACTAAGCAATATCATTGCTCACAACACACAGACACAAACGGCCCGAGCAAGGTCATCTGGCGCCACTCGTTAAATTTCATTGGTGCCGTTTTCCTACGGCTTTTGCAGCGCACTTTTCGACATTCGAAAACACCGCGGCCCTTATCACCCCCCTAACGGTCAGACTAGGACTTATTCGTTCCAGCTGGTGCCGAACGCCTAGCCATAAATATTCGAACATCTATACTTTGCTTATCGAGTGCATTGCTATGTTTCCGCTACTCTTATGTTGTGGTTTCATGTTAATAATAATGTTTTTGTTTTACTCTAGAAAAAAGTTGTAAGAGCCAAATGAATTTTTATAATTTTTTAGATCAAATGAATGTTTGTACTTTCTTTTAAAAGTATATTCATCTCTGGTGTAAAAGAGTTTGATTACAGTTAATCAATTTCATTCTCAACCAAAATTTGACTATAAAGCCTGAAATCATTGAAGCAAAATCTAATGACTCAAGAAATTTCTGAAAGTTTTTAATGGTTGATGAGTTTATGAAATCTGACATGATGACATCATACAATCAGAGGCCCTAGTCTTTCCGACGTGACTAAAAAAGGAGTCCCAGTGTTTAGTCACATTTCTCAAATTCCGACAATCATCACAAATTTCACAAACTTTCGAAATTTCACAGTTGACTAAACATGTGATAAATTTTCGCAAATGCATACAAGAAAATCGTGGAATGACTGGTTGTTTTGTCTCAATCGAAATAGGATAAGAATGACATTACTGATAAAAAGTCATACCTGTAAAAATTACTCATCTCACGTCACCTCAATTTTTAAGGGAGTTTTTTTTGCTATGAAGATTTATAGCTCGCTCTTTCATGAAACATATAATCTGGACATTTTTCCACACATAATGCATTCCCACGTTAGAGCTACAACAAAAGTTCCTTTGATTTACTCCCCTTAACGTGTCAAACGAGAACTGGTCCCTGCTAGATTCGTCGTTCCTGAGTTTGCAGTTTCTCTTTTTTTTTCTTTTTTTTGAAAATATATTTGAATTTTCATGAATTGTAAAGATGAGCTCAGTTGGAGCTTTGAGTGATTATCGTCAAAAATTCATCAGTTGGGACCAGTTTTCGTAGATCGTCAGATGCACAAATAATGTAGTAGACATCTGTGACAGGCGAACACGTAAGCACTCAAAAATTTGTTTACTTCCTTGTATATCATTTTCATCTAGAAAAATTCCTCGTAATGAATTTTGCATTCCACATTAGCATTTCCAGCTTTTGAATCGTTTCGAATCTAATCAGAATTCACTTTCAGTTGTGGCGCGACTGTCACCTAGGCAAAATACTCTTGTTTTCGAAAACATTATACAGGAAGCAAAATTTATGGCTCAAGTTGTGGTTGTTAATCATCCTTATCTATTCCAAAGGTCTCTCGACTACGACCCAGCTCAAACATTCGTTGTGTGCACAGTTCTTCACTCTTGCAGAAAAACAATCATGTTTTTGTTTAACTATTAGATTTTTTGCTAAAATTCGAGTGACTACATTTGACTGCAAGGAACGACCGGGCTGAACGCCAACGAGCGTGTCTCTTGTGAGCTCACATTGACATTCGCGCGCATGAGTTTATGGTGCCTATACTCGGCAGCCGCGTTGCAAGCATGCTCGCGTGGATCAGCCTACAGCGAACCGGGCGACTTCGTGCAGTCGACTTTACCAGTTATTTTTTTTCACAGTGTAAACTGCTCCAACACAGCATTGTGTTCCTGTTTTTTTTACTAAGCTTCCAAGATTTTTCCAGTTATTTTAAAACATTTTCAGGCAAAAATTCCAATGTTTCAATAATATTGAAAGTGTTTTTGTGGTTGTGTCTGGGGTTTCTGAAGATCTATCTGTAGTAAAATTGTAAAGTCGGAAAGGAAGATGTGGAAATTCTTAGCCTATTATTTTCCCTACTTGACAGAGTTGGGTGTTTTTGTTTCGTTATTAATGACTTGATAATTCCAGAGCATTTTTTCTGAATTTGAGAATATTACCAGTCATTTAGATACTCAAATATTCTATTCATTTAGTTTTTCCAAGCATCGATCCCCTTCTACCGATGAAGCTCTGTTGCATAATTTGTAAATGTGTGTCTTCATGGCGTTTTCGTTCTTATTCATCGTCTTCTGAATGATTGCAATTTCATCGCAGCTGTGAATTTTCTATTCTGATTCATCAAAATTGATTTTTGCAGCAAAATGGGCAACAGTCAATCAGCATCTTATGATGTTACCAATGTTCGAGAAGTGAAACGAAAAGAAAAGCCTGATGGTACGGTGAAACCTTTGAAGGAACAGTCAGTAATGAATAAGAATGAGGTTGGTGCAATTCCTTGTCTTTACCCTTGTCGGAAAATGATTGGTGATAGAAAACGTACAAAAAAACTCAACGATAAGAAAATTCAAAAATGGAAAAAATATAGTGAATGATTTACTGGAAACCTAAATACCATCCAAATTTGGCCTAGAGAATGCACTTGCAGTCATAGGGCCACTACCTGTCTGCCTCTCTGCTTTTCATGTTTACTCTCCGTAGTGAGCGTCGGCTGAAGGCGCGCCGCGTGTGAGGATGCAGCCAAGACATTGCTTGCGTCTATGACTTATAATTTTTTTTGAATCACAGCGAAAATTTTTAGAGGATCGAGCTGATTTTTAGAGGCTGAGATCGAGTAGGTGAAGTCTCGTTCACAATATTTTGAGATTAGATATTTGTAATTGCGTAAAAATGTTTGTTTCAGTAACCGAGAATGCTTAAAAAGGCCACATTTTACTGCTTTTTGTAAACTAAATTAAGCAATTATGATTTCAGTGACAATAATATCATTTTATGGCTACATTTTATAGCTCATTTTACAATTTTACTTATGAGTGAAACTTCCTTCCCCAATTTTTGCTTTTTATCACAATGATTTCTTTTTCAGAAAGGAAGATCTGAGAACAGATCACCGAAAATTGAGGAGCGCCATGAGACACACCATGAAGCACATCCTGAAAAGTCCCCTGCACAGCCTCGCAAATCCGCGGCTCCTCCACCACCGGCTGAGCCATCCAATGTACCAATTGGTAGTGGAGCCGTACCAGCCGTTCCAATTGGTAGTGGAGTTGTGGTTGTGGATGATGATATTCAGGTTTGTTGGTCCTAATTAGAATATGGTGTGAAACTCAACTTTTTGCATTTAGTCACTTCATCGTACAGTAGAACCTGAGACGATTCCTCTAGAAGCAGCGCCATCGCAATCGCGTTATGACTGAACGGGGCTGACACTGTACACGACAATTTCCTCCTTTGTTTTTACGCCTTGATTATGAGTTGCCAATTTTCTTTCTTCATGTTTGATTTCAGAGCTGTTTTACTACTTAAGACTAGTCTCGACAAATGACTTTGTTTACAACATTTCCTATCACAAATCTCATGACGCATGTGTATACCATTTATGCAATAAATAAACGCTTTAAAGATATAATGGAGATATCTAGAAATGATAAAGGCCTCGCATTTCCAACGAAATTTGAAGGAACGCGTCGGATGCTGTGCGTAGTCGATGTTCTTAATGTTCCAGTACAAGGTTCAGTTTTCTACACGACTCGCACGTAAAAGTATATATTAACAAAGATTAAGACTCGGAGTTCAGAGTAATTTTCCTAGAGAAATTCTGAAAGATCTGAGTCTGGCACACTGCTTATCCAACCACCAGCGCATATCCACTTATCCAGTGCATCACCTCTGCTTCGCAGAGGCTCGCACTGGCTCTGCCATCTGTGTGCCTTACTCATTCTCGTAAAATCTTGGCACTGGAACTCACCGAGCTATGCCGACTACCACGAATAAAATGTAAACAACTACTCATTAGAAAACCTTTTTCACGTGAGATCGGTGATTTCGCGTGGATGAAACTTTTCGCAGGGAGACAAACGTAGATTAGGTTTTTGAAGTTGTCATGGCTTGGTAGTCGCCACAAAGGCAATAGTAATCGTGAGCTACATCTTTGTGCGAAAATCTTCTCAAATGCTTGGCTAGAACCTTGGCAAATTGACCATTTACACAATCAATTTTTTGGCGCCGTTTTCGTTATGTAGTAAATTTTTGACCACTTTTCGGGCTAAAGTCCATCACTTGCACTTTTGCTTATCAACCACATCCTCGACTTTGCAAAAAGTAGTGATAAGGACTCATTTTTGCGGCACAGAAGCCAGGTGGACCCGTTTGGCGCGCAATTTCTGGGGGATCCACTCAACGAATTTACTCGTGCTTTTGCATGTTGGACTTTCATGAAGGAAGCATGCGCTGTGCAAAATTTGGGCTTAGAACGCTGGCTAGAACACGCTCTACGAATTTCGTAACAGACGGACACACACAGACACACAGACACCACACACACAAAAACTTGTGTGTGTGGTGTCTGTGTGTCTGTGTGTGTCCGTCTGTTAAACAACCCTTAGCCCGTTATTATAAGGTCTTGATTGGCTACACAATGACTGGTGCACGCTATCCTACTATTATATATCAGTGCTTCACCTCTGCTTCGCAGAGGCTCGCATTGACCATCAAGAAACGATGGTAAACTTACGATGTGAAGGCTTTCGTTTAGATTACTGTCAGGTTGACTACGGTGAGAGAGTCGTAATTAAAAGTGAACCATACTCGCTTTCAGAACCTCATATGCTGCAAAGTACTGTAATTCATTCCTCACTCTATTTTCGTAACAGACAGATTTACAGACCGACAAGTAAGCGGCTTATTATAGTAACCAGTGCGTCACCTCTGCTTCGCAGAGGCTCTCACTGGTTCTACTCTATATGCCTTACTTTTTCTCACCTACTAATGGCTTTGAAACTCACCGCGCAATGCTGACTATCGCGAATGAAATGTAAACAACTATTCATTCTAAAAGCCTTTTTTATGTAAGATCGGTGATTTCGCGTGGTTGTAACTTTTCGCAAAAGAACAAATGCAAGTTTGAATAGGTTTTGAAACTTTTTTTGGCTTGGTAGTCGCCATGAAGACAATAGTTACCGTGAGCTACATCTCTATGCAAGAATCTTCTCAAATGCTCAGGTAAATCCACGGCGGATTGACCATTTACGCGAACACTTCTTTCTGGCGTCGTTTTCGTAAAGTAGCAAACCTTTGGTCACTTTTTGGTCTAAAGTCCATGACTTACACATCAACCTGCTAAACACATCCACGGCTTCGCAAAAAGCGTTGATACGGACCCAATTTTGCGGGCCAGAAGCCAAGTGGATCCGTTTGACGCGCAAATTCTGAGGGGCCCACCCAGCGAATCCGTTCGTGCTTTTGCATGGTGGAGTTCTACATTGGTAGCATGCGCTATGCAAAATTTGAGCTCTGGATGTTGGCTGGAACCCGCTATACGAATTTCGTTACAGACAGACAGACAGACACACACACACACAAAGTCACGTAAACACGCTTAGCCCGTTATTATAAGTTATGATAAGAAAGATAGTTTTTTAATTTTTTTACTCCATTTCGTCTCTTTCCTTAGACGGAGTTTTAAGATCTAGACCCTCTCCGGGACTATTCAGTAAGGAGAGAGGGTAGTAGATTAGATTTTAGAGTAAGTGGTCTCTCGAACTTGAGGCTTTCAAAAATTATTTTTGCATGCAATCTCCAGACTAGAAAATCTTGTTATTTGATGGATGTGTGATTTGAACGGTCCACCAAGATACTAACACTGTTTACTATGATATAGAGGCCTACCTTTCGGCACTTCGTCAGTGCAAGTAAAGTCATCAGAATCTATTCCCTCGGACATCAACAAAAGACTTAAAGTACTATTTGAGAGAAAGCCACAGAAAACCTAGTCAGAGTAACAAGAGCAGCACTGACCCCTTAGCTAAAAGCAAAACGGAAGTCGGAGACCGCCGTATTGTTGTTTCTTGTTATGTTGCAGCCGCGTAAAAGCATAGATTGTATAGCCAAACGTTTGCTCATTACAGTAGTCAGTACTGCGATCAGAAAAAGCGCTTCCAAAAAGAGTTATTCTGATTTGTTGAATAATAGGAAATTTGCATTATTCATGAATCAACCTACTGCTAAAAATTTTTTATACCTGGGCGATCAAGCTTTTTTAGGAAATTTTCTTCTTGGACACCCTTGAATAAAAGTGCACAAGTGCATAAGTGCACTGCAAAGTGCATAATTTTGCATTTTTATCTTGCTCTGTCATTAGCTAACGTTGCCATTATACAGGGTGTCCCAAAAATGTGCTTACTGTTTGATTGGTAATCTTTTATGAAGTTTCTGCTGTAATGCTGCAATCACATCGATAAATGGGATGCAAAAGGTAACCAGTTAGGAGTGAGAGATGCTCCAAATCACCACTTTATACGCATCTGTCTTGGCGACGTTGTTGTTTAACAACCTTTTGCTTTGGGCGCCCTGCAAAGCCATAAGAACTCGTTCGTATCGCAGATAGGGTGCTGCCTTTATACAAAGTAGGGTTTTCTCAGTATTTCCGAAAAAGCTTTTCTGCCCCAGTTCTATGTGATTCGTTAGCATAGCCCTTGAAAATTCCACAGTAAGTGCTTGAGCTTGCTTTAATGTTTCGTGGTAATTGTAGTAACTCATGGTAAAGCACTCAAGGCGAAAAACGCGCCGGTTGGAATTTTGGCAGTGCCTTACTCTACTATTCGAAAAGCAATATGAAGTCTGCTTCCTAGCATAGATTGATAGAGGACATTTCTTTCTTATGGGTATAAAAAAGCTGACTTTTTTACCTCGATAGCAAGTTAGTCATTTTTGAAACTTACGCTTTTTAGACCTTGAGAAAGAAAGCTAGAAAATGCAGTAGGTAATGGGTCCGTAGGGCTTAATAGGTAATTTGACATGCTGATTACGAAAATGACACTCATTTTACACAGCAAACTTGGTCACTTTACGATATGTCAAGGTAAAAGATGAAGTTTTTTGGCTGAAACTTCGATTATGGAGAATCATATGCTGTTACCGACCTTCATTCCTTCAGTACTGGTGAGACTGCGATCACCAGACTAGCGCTTTGCTTTTTCAACTTAATCGTAGTATCTATCCAACAGAAAGAGTTCGATTATTAATTACGATCCTCCCCTCTTAGTATTACCCCCAATACGACCTCCCAGGTCGGGCACGCCTGACTTCAAGCTCAACCCTGGTCGCAAGTGCAAGGAAACCAACAAAAATCAACGATTCCTCGAGCCGCCGCAAGCCCTCTCCGAAGCCCCTAACCGCTTACTTACTGCCCCTCGAAGTCTTCGAATGGTAGCAATACGCGCTAGACACGACATGATGCTGTAGCAGACTATACAAACACCTTCGTTTCTTCAATGTTTTAAACGTTCTTTAACACGTTTCGGACCGGTGCTGCACATGGTGCAGCACGCTGCTTTGGAGGCTCTTTCTGTTTTTGCAGGAGGTTTTCTTTAAGTCCGAAGTTATTGAGTCAAAGGTCTAAGCTCTTACTTTTTGAATGACTCAGTAGAGTTATGCACCAGATATTTGTTTACGAGATGTAAGGACAAATCGAACAACAGTTGCAACGAAGTGCGGCAACGCGAACGACGCATGCGATGTCGCAACTTTTCTTTGCTCCGATTAAGAGATAAACCGTAGTTTCAATAGTGACGAGTACAGTGTACAACATAGATACTTTTAGATACTATTTGAAACTGAGTTCTTGCTCCTATCTTTCAAGAAAGCACAAAAGTCCCGCTCAAGCGACAAAATTCAAACGCTTCGAATTCACCCAGAATTTTGAGTATGGAGCTTATCTGGCATGCTGATTACAGATGTAGTCCACAGTTTGCGAAAAAAGGTTCCTTTGCGGCTAACTGCCGAAAATGCACTCTTTTTCGCCGCGCGCGATTTCGCGGTCCGAAACGTGTTAAGTGCCCTTTTCTGTTTTTTATTTGTTTTTCTTTATGGAGGCGCCACAAGGCATGTCGTAAAAGTAATGCGAACTAAGGAGACTTCTTTGCAAATTGTTAAAGCCACTTTGTGCCGAATCCTGGCTTACTCCATCCTCCAAATGGCAACTTCATTCAAATCGTGTTTATCTTGATAAGTAGGTATAATTTCATGATTCACAGCTTCAGAGATGATCGCACCTGAAGTGTCATTAAACTTCAAGTTTCGAAAAGCTAAGAACACATACAGTTTGCGAAACTATTTTGTGGAATCGAGTCTCAGAATCCCCTTGCATAATACTGAAAAATGCAATCGTTTTTGTTGGTCCACAGGAAAATTCAGTTCGAAAATCTTGGTGAAAATAGTAGAATAGCTGCTTCAAAAGCCGTTCAAAATGTTCAACAATTTATACAGTATTTGTATCTTATTTAATGAGAGATAGAAATATAGCATACCGCTAACCCCATGCTCTGGTTTTATATCTTTTTTTGGAGTTCAAAAAATTTATACTTGATAATTGAGCTCTGCATAGCATATAAGAAAATGTAGAATTACATAACAAATTGCAAGATGTGACTAGGGATAAGAAGGTTTTGCTATGATCATGAACTTTGCATCGTCATTGCCTTGCCATACGTTGCCTTTCTCGTCCGTTTCGTAACCTGAGCTCTGAAAAATCCAAAATAGTGCAAGTTGCTACAGTTACTACCACATTCGCGGCACTTACTTTGTAGTGATCTAGGTACATTAGCGCTAAAGTGGTAAACTGCAATAGAAACTTTAACACTTCCCAGGGATTATAGAATTGTGGAGCAAACTCTTGAGCTCAACGACAGAAACCAGGCCAAACTGAGTACTACCGTATACTCACGGACATCATGAATTAGAGAGAACGTACAGCAATGTTTTTTGTGTTTTATTATACATGGTGGGAACTTCTTCTTAATAGCATCATGAGAGTTTAAGATCTGTCGCGGGTACTTTGTGCGCATGCCTTACGGTCAATTCCAGTTCGAAACTTGTCCAGAAACTGCATATTTTGCTTAGGATAGAAAAAATTCCTTCTCAATTTATTAGTCCTTTCATCTTTTGCTCATAGTGTCGGGAAAACACAGCTTCACCTCGAAGTGAATCTTTCGATTGATGGCATGAATAACCGGTCATTCGATCTATCCAAGAAAAGTGAAGGTGATCATTTGAGCGGTTGACCATTGTATCAAATGGGTCATTATACGAATCACACAAAAAGACGTATCAGAATAATGCAGATTACGCCTTCTTCAATTATATCAGTAAATAACTAAAATAAGAGCATTCCTGCCCTTGGACGAAGAAAAATGACTCCATGCAAGCTGTTTATCGAAGAAAATGTAGTGTCTATCTAGTTAAAAATAATCCACAGAAAACCCTGGAAATCAGAAGTTTTGTATAAAATTTTCAACAAATATATATGATAAAGAGTGTCCGGAGTGATTTCCGTCATTTGAACCCATCAGTCAATCAAAGCTGCACAGAATGTCTTATCATACCTACAGTAGGTATAGAATTTACTGTGTAAGAATTAGCTCGTGAAATGACAAATACTTTATAGGTGACGGAAGGAGCTCAGTTAGCACACGTGTCATAACGACGTACTATCTTCACACTCATATAAGATCAATTACTATTCATAAGCACCACGGAATATGTCGCAATATGGAAAAATTCGCTCCTACATGGAGGGAAAACTTCCAAAATTTACTGTGGATGTCAATTTGCATTCTCATTTATACACCGAATGGAACCAGCGTCCAGCTGAATCTCAAGAATCTATAATTTAAGTTGATAACCATACTAAACTGTGTAGGTACAGTGTTGAATGGAGGAGTTCACGTTGCCTTAGGTTCTTTTTAACGGATATCTGGCACAGATGCGTCATGATACGGTGGATGTGCTGTGAATGTATTGTTGATCGAGTGCCACGCGGGACTTCGTGTACAGCGAGCACCTCAAATTTAGGTAATTGAAGCTTTATTGTAGAGATCAGCTCAATGACTATATTGCGATAATGATAATGATGAAAAGTTGAGTTGCTGTGAGGGATCTTTAAAATGACTGTGACTCTGTGAGTTATGTATGAGGTCACAAAAAATAGTTGATTTGCTCCTATACATCTAAGTTGAAGCCAGCTCTACAAAATGATACCTTATTGTAGCTAAAAGAATCCTTGAGAAGAGAGATATTAACGATCAAACAGTGTATAAGTACTTTTGAGACACCCTGCATGTGAAAAATAAGCCATTTTTTTTGCGAGATTTTATTCTAAAATAAAAAATTTGCTGACATTCTAGCATTTTTGCGACCGAAATTTGAAAAAATACGATTCTGATGTCCAATTTACTAGTTTTCCACCTTGTGCTATATTCCGTGTTTTGCTTCAAGCACTGGTAGATAGGTGCACTCTCTCTAATAAGTGTAGAAGTAAACGAGTTTAGAATTGAAAGAAGTTGTAAATTTTTGGAAGTTTTTGCCTATGAGATCAGCTGTAGTAGGGCAGCTTTAGCGAAAATTTTCGAGGTTTCCATCAGGAAATATAATATGAGGGGGGGGGGAAAGAAGAACAGGGACAAGAGAGGAGGTGGGGAAAAGGAAGATTAACCCACTCATATTTTTTCCTTCCTTGCTGCTATCATCTTATACAGGGTGTCCCAAAAGGATGTGCACACTGTTTGATTGTTAATAACTCTGTTGTATTCATGTCTTTTACCTAATATGAGGTACCATTGTTCATAGCGAGATTCAACTTAGATTTACAGTATGGAGCGATTTATCAGCAGCCCTTCATTACTGTAGGATTATGGTAGGAATTTCGAGGAGGATTTCAGGCCATTGAAAGCGGTATTTTGCCTCAGAAATAAAGCCAAACAAGCCAGGAACTCTTGAACTGGGTTAATCGAAGTGGCTGATTCTAAATATGAAAGTTGCACTTCAGTATACTATTTCTTTCATAAGTTATTTCAGATTTAGGGCAACAACTAATTTCCCAGTGTTCATTAGAAAAGTGAATACGCCATCAAGAAAGCTCGAAAAACTGGTGGAAAGTTATGTATTGAAATCAGCACGCCTGAAAACCTTGCTACACAAATTTTTGGATTTTTTCCAAATTATTTCATCAAAGGGCTTATTCCACAGTGACGCTGTATGCTAAAAGTATACCGTGATCCTACATTAATGAAGAGTGATTGGTGATTCGCTCCATACTGTAAATCTAAGTTTATCCTCGCTCTACAGAATGGTAACTCAAGCTCGGCAAAAGACATGAAAGCAAGAGAGTTATTAACGATCAAACAGTGTGCACATCTTTTTGGGACACTCTGTATATAAAGCTGAATGTCTGTTTGTCTGTCTGTCTGTCTGTCTTTATGTCTGTCTGTCTGTATGTCTGTCTGTCTGTACGTATGTTCCGAATATTTTTTATGTTCCGAATCCATTTCTGAACCGATCGGGACCAAACTTGGCACACATACACTTCGGGCCCCGGCGGGTGTCATAGGCTACTTTCCGTCATCGATCGATATCGATTTTATCGACTTTTTGCAAAATTTGAGCTACGGGGCTGGGAGTTGGCTGAGGGGTGTAATCGACTCCCAGCCCCGTAGCTCAAATTTTGCAAAAAATCGATAAAATCGACATCGATCGATAACGAAAAGTGGACTGTGACACCCGCCGGGGCCCGAAGGGTATGTGTGCCAAGTTTGGTCCGGATCGGTTGAGATATGGAATTTTCTATTCGGAACATACGGCGGAGCCGGGTAAGCCAGCTAGTATTATATAATCAACATTTTTCAACTGGTGAAAATTGATTATCCTAAGTAACAAAACGAGCTGAAAAAAATGCATCAAATCAAATCTTATCGCTCTGGAAGGCTCCTTATACCAACTGTAAGATGTGCTAATTAACAGAAACAGATCTTTTTGCCTGCCCAGTAAAGTGAAATTGAATTCTCATCGTGCAACTCACGACAACTTTACTTTTGCTAGCTTTTCCAAGTTCACGTAAAGTGAAGGAAGTAGACTTTCAAAGGCAGTGAGGTTGACACTTTGCGCTATTCGTTTTCGCCTTAACACGTTTCGGACCGGTGCTGCACATGGTGCAGCACGCTGCTTTGTAGGATCTTTCTGGCGTTTACAGGAGGTTTCCTTTTAGTCCAAAGTTGTTAAGTCAAAGGTCTAAGCTCCTACTTTTCAAATGACTCTGTAGAGCTGTGCTGCGCGTATTGGTTTAGGAGATATGAGGACAAAACGAACAATGCAACGAAGTGCGGCAACGTGAACGACGCGTGCGACGTCGCAACTTTTCCTTGTTTCGATTTCAAAGGGAAAAACCGTGGTTTCAATAATGATGTGTACAGCCTACAACATAGATACTTTTGAACACTATTTGAAACTGAGTTCTTTCTCCTATCTTTCAAGAAAGCACAAAAATCCCTCTCAAGCAACAAAATTCAAACACTTCGAATTCACTCAGAACTTTGGGTATGGAGCTTATCTGACATGCTAGTTACAAATGTGGTCCACAGGCTGCGAAATAAGGTCCTTCTGGCTAGCGGCCAAAAGTACACTCTTTTTCGCCGCGCGCGATTTCGCGGTCCGAAACGTGTTAACAACAGTCTTAACCAAAAAAGCATTCTGTTCCTATATTTATTGCTCTTCAAACCCACCCAGCAATGATCTATTACGTCTTTGCACAACAACGAACATAAATTGCATAGTGCAGTCCCGTTACCCTATTCGAGTAGCTATTATAGATCCTAATTATAGCTTCAGCACTTTCTGCAGTCAACATCAACTTAGCAAAGCGAATCTCGAGAATCTTTTCAACGATGACTTTCAACGGCTCTTTCTGAACCGAAAATAGCTTTTAGATCGATGGTTGGCGTCGTGACCGTGATCGAAACAATAGTGGATACATTTATGTTGGCCAGTGTATTACTACATATTCACTGTCAACTGGTACTGCACCAAATAATCAAAAAAGGAACGAAAGATAAATTGACTAGTTACTTGCATATTCTATACTTTTGTGGTAAGCAAGTATGTCACAGTGTTCTCTTTGCTACAAATCATCTATAATACTCCTGAAAAACTACTCTAAAATTTTGCATAGTTGCAATTTATTGTGAAAAACAGGTGATAAGCTCAGGAAGTAGAAAAAGCAAACAAGTCTATCTATCAAGTTTTGTTTGTTTAAATAAAACATTATGAAGATTCAAAACTTGAATGTGCACACTGAGACGGGTGATTGTCATAGGGTAGTTTTCTTTTAGATCGATATTCATTTTATTGATTCTCGGCAGAGTTTGAGCTGCGGGGCTGGGAGTTGGCACAGAGGGCAGTGGGGTGAGGGAGGAATAAGTGAGCAAGCTGACTAGGAATTTAATGAGCGTTTGGAAATACCCCTACTTTTATGAACTCCATCGTTTTTTGCAAGGTCCCAGCTATGGGTTTGAGAGTTGGCACATGGGGCATAGTGACTGATTTCTAAATCGAGCTTATAGAAATGAGACGGGGGAGAGAAATGTTGTCTGGAGACGAAAGATTTAGAAAGGATAAAAAATAAACGGCGTCTCCAATAACTGCTGCGGCATGCGCCGAACGCACACTACTTCATAGTCGAAGAAGCAATTGTATGCGTGCGAGCCTGTTACAGTAATTTGCGGGGCCAGCCGTTTGCCAAGTCAGTGCTTGTGTCCTCCCAGATTACTCTCGCACCAATTTACCGGCCCCGGAGGGTAGAGGGCTTGGTTGGCCCAGGAGAGGGGATCGAACCCGTGTCCGATCTGGTCATAGCGGCCCCTCAAATCGCTACGCCACTTGTCCCCAATGGTGAATTTTACCAAGTTAAATTGGCAGGAAACGAGCGAAGCAGGGTATCAAGCTAGTTAATATAATATTTACAGGCTATGTCGACATCCTCGTAATAGCCAACTTGATCTTCTTTCAAGTCTTACCCCAAATAGGCTGGCGAGGATTCTTTTACAGCTTAGGTTCGGCTGGAGCAAGGTAATCACAGCATTTGTTCCTTGCTCTTTCGTACTTACCACAAATATTCCAGGTTCTATTACATGGTCATTTTTGCTTCTGAAATCTTCATAGTACTCTGTGAAGTATTCATCGCTATCTCCCGATATTTGACATTTATTCGCAGCGACCTGAACTACTGGAATACTGATAGGATCCACTACTGGTTGCTGGCAATCGTTGGTGTCTCTGTCGCGTATGCTTCAATTTATTTTTTCTGTGATTTTTGGGTGAGATTCGTTTCCTTCAAAAGTAACTTTGGCCACTGCGCGGAAGCGACTGTGAAAGTTCCCTTACTAATCGCATTCAGTAGAAAGCGATAGTGACCTATCAAAGAGCATGTGCATTGTGGAGTAGCGTGAACGGTTCTTCCAAATTTTCCCTACCTGCGAAAATTTCCGGGAAGAATTCGAGGTTGTTAGGGCCAGAATCGGGCAGTCCACGCAAGTGCGATCATGAACGGAAGGCATTGATTTCCAGTACTCCGTCAAAGTCGCCCGAGGCGGGCCTAAGTTTACCTCGGAGCACAGATCAGCATCAGTCGTGCCATCTACTAGTCGCGGATTGCTTTGTAAGCGCGTTTTCAACATCTTCGCCGTTTGTAATTCATTTGCTCTCTCTTGTGCCGTAGGAACCTCATATTCTCGTTCAGAAACGTTCCGCAGTTAAAGCCGCCGATTGAGCTCCAGCTCCAGACGTCAGTGGTTGGAGCGCACTTGCATCAAGTACTGAAGTTGGATTTCCACTGAAGCCTGCAGTGTACGAGGGCAACGGAGCTTGCGTGAATGCTACGTTGCCCTACTGCAATACCGTGCACCACTAGAGGCCCTATGCTACGAGCCTAAGCAGTAGCTATGTTGACCTTACTAGAGGTCACAAAACGGAATCCGCCGAGGCTGCACCACCGACGTCTGTCACACATGAATTACTCCAGTTAAACTTAAACTGAGTGACTTGTGCTCCTCGATTAGAAATCCTGATGCAAGTGATGGTTTCGGAGGCGCCACTGAATCATGGAGTGGATTGGCGCTGATTACGCGGCCGCTCGCTGGCACAATTGCCTTTTTTCAAAATTGGTTTTTTGTGCTATACTGGCGATGTCTATATGCAGAGGAGAGGCCGCGGAAGACCAAAAAGTGACTTTTCGGAACTTGCGCGCGGCGGCGAACTCCTTTGGACTCTTGCGCAATCGGAGACCGATAAGGAAGGCAGATTTGGAGTCAGCGTTTTGTGCGTTCCAGTCAATGTACATTCTATTTCTGAAGACCAGTCTCAACCAAAACTAAATACTCCCCATACTTCCAATGTCGGCACAGCTAACCATAAGTACAACTTTTCTCTGACAAATGCTTTGACGATTTAGACCGTGTGGGATGCCGAAAGTGTTCGCTTTGAATTTGCCCCTGGAAACTTGGACTGGATTGCAGTTTCAATATTCGTTCCATTCGTTATAGCTACAATCTCATTTCTATGTTGCTTATGCTGCTATATGAAAGTTGCTACAATAATAAGAGGATCTCAAATGGTGAGTTTTTTCTTCACTGGAATTATCAAAGGGTATCCCGCTGCAGGGACTAACTCGACCAACAGCGATGAAGATGTGTCTATCGTCCGCAATCATCTCTTTTGGTAAAATTTCTTCAGAATCGCGCATGAATCAATGTCAGTTTGTCTTTAGGAGGTTTCTTGTGCTTGCTGGCCAGAATTGTGAATCACCTGTCTTATGCCATTCTCCAGCATGATTTGATTCCTTATGCAATTTTCTACCTGATTGTAAGAATAGGTAAGGCACACCTTCGATAGAAACGTGAAAGTTGTTTATAAGAAATCAAACAAGAGAAGAAGATGCAAAACAATTAGCCCTTGAAAACCTAATAAAACGCTGCTATCAGTTTGAGATTTCTCGTTTGGCGGCATTTCAAATTGCAGGTTTTCGCTACAGGACCAGACAATCCGCAGCACGGGCGAAAACGAGGGGAAGCTAGTTTCTTCTTTGTGATTGTTCTAAAAGCAAACATATTTTGAAACCAATCAACAAGAAGAAAAACGAGAAACATTCGGTTTTGAAAACGTCAAGTTTTGTTTTTTCCCAAGTCGAAATGCACGTCAAAAGCAACCTACTTTTTGATGCGTCCTTTAAATTTTTAGCCCCTTCTCGTGGTTTCTATTTTTGGCGACGTTGTCAGCTCTGTTGTGCCCATAATCCTGAGCAAAATGACCCCAAGCTTATAAAAAATGGTTGCTAACTAACTCCAAAGGCCTAGGAATAAATGGCCTTTTTGCGGCTTTGTGCTAGATACTTCACCACAATCGAACAAGTTAGCCGCGCGACGTTGTTTACATTATGAACGGAAGCAAGATCTATGAGTTACACAAAAAAAACCCGCTTGAAAAGAGCTAAAGTGAAGAAAAACAAGGGATCTTCGAAAACATAGTTTTTGAAAGATTTGTCGTCCAAATCAAAAAATGGAGCTCTGCTACGTTGTCATCGTGAAAGTAGAGATCAAGAGCTTCAATACGATATACAGTTTGCTAAGATTAAATTGAAAACAACGAAGAAAAGGGTACCAAAGCCAGATGCCCCGCGCCCCGCGTATGGGGTAGCGAGGCAGCGCGCAACGCGCGGAGACCAGACGAGCAGCGGAGACGGACCAGGGCCGATGGGGCATTTGGCTCTGCTCGTAAATCTCGGCGGGGTCTTAACGAAAACCTGCAACATCATATATCATTGTGATCCTCATGACACAACCAGGAGCACTGACTACGTCGTAGTTGTTGACAACCACTCCATAACGAGATAACCAGCATTGAAGTGGCGACTCTCTGCGTATGATTTAAGCGCAGTTTCTTGTTGTTATTGAACTTCAATGGCTTTCTTGAACTTCTAACACTCAATCGTAGTTTATAAAAAGTTTGATTAAGAATTTTCGTCCTAAATTCTAAGGGGATCTCCGGATACAAGCCTTCTTTTCAGCAGAAAATGCCGCAAAAGCGCAACAATTTGGTTTGCTGTGCTTTTTTATATATCACTCACCATACTTGCTCATTCACATTCATTCCTGTAAAGTTATGCCATAATTCCGGTTCTTGCTACTAGACAGTCACCTCATTTGCATATTTTGAAGTTTGCTTACCGATATTGCTAACGAAAAAATACGATTTATGCCCATTTTCGAGAAAAACACAAAGCTCTAAACTGTTCGAAACAGCGTTTAAATGTCACTAGTCTTACCTATTATTTTAGGCGCGTTGATAGCGACTTGCGGTAATCCTTGGATACTGATGGCATTGTTTCCAACGGTAAAAGATGTTTTAGTCCTTATTGTTCAAAAATGTTATTTCCAGGTCAGAGAAAAAGCTTTTTCTTGTTGCAAAAGAAAGTCCACAGTGGCCGTGGGAGTGGTGTCCACTATCGCAGCAAAAGCAGATTACCGAAGCACAGTTACTCATAATAAGTGAAGCGAAAATTTTCCATCTATGTACTATATACTGTAGAAACAAGACATAGTGCTGTAGTGACCTGTAGTGATGCTGTAAACGTTGATTCGCATATCTCTCATAAATCTTTTTGTATGTAGAGCTGAATGTCTATTTGTCTGTATGTCTGTCTGTAAGTCCGAACTTATGCTCCTAATTGGAATTCCTGTCTCTGAAACGATCGAAACTATACATACGCTTCGGAGAGGGGGGAGGGGGGAGGATGTCGAAGGTTACTTTTTGTGATCGACTGATAATGAATTTACCGATTTTTCGCAAGGTTTGAGCTACGGGGGAGGTTGGCACAGGGGATAAGTGAGCTTATTGCGATAAGGACTGTTTGTGAATAAAGTATCAGTTTTCGAGATCAGTGATTACCTTTATCGAATTTATTGTTTTTTGTAGACCGAGCTACAGAGCTGGGAGTTGTCAAGGGGATAAGAGAGCATTACTAATACAAGTCACCAATTTTAGCGATTTTTTGCAAAATTTGAGCTGCGAGGCTGGGAGTATAGGTGCGGTAGAGGGAGCCGGGCCCTCTCCAGGTGAAGGGGGTTTTGGCTACTCCCGCCCTTGAAGGGTGAAGAGGGTAAGTGAGTACTGGTGTTGCTTGCTGACGTTCGCTAGAATGCCGAGTGGAGGTGGGGGCTGATAGCGACGCATAACATATCAATCGGCAGACTTTTAAAAATAGCGAGGCTTTGAAGCCAGAGAGCGGAAGGCTCCCATAAGCTACACAGTATTCGAAAGCTGAGATCTTGAGGAGTCGACGCCGTTGACTTTTTCCAAGGTGTCATGCTGCTACAGCTGCTGGCATGCCGACGGGAACGAGCAGTTCGAAAGTCGTACGCCCTCTGAAGAGAGGGTCCCCGTAAATCGGGGTTTTTTGGGACTTTTGGAGGATTTTAATGTCATAACTGTAATAGGGGCGCGGAAAGGCCTCAGAATGACAAAAACATCGAAGGCGAAATTTTGGGTGTACGCTGCCTTTAGAAGCTCTCGCCGATTTTTAAAGATATAAGCTGCAGTTCCGCACTTAGCACATTCAGAAGTATAGACAAATATTCGAACTACTGGCCAAACTCTGCTTCTAATGGCAAAAGTTTCAACAATTTAGACCGTTTGGGATGACAATAAAAATTTCCGCTTTGAATTTGCCTCGGGAAGCTTGGACTGGGTTGCATTTTCAATGTTCTTTCCATTCACTGCAGCTACAATCTCATTTCTATGTTGCTTATAATTGCTACTGGAAAGTTGCTACAATAATAAGATGAACCCAAACGGTGAGTTATTTCATACTTTCTAGAAACATCAAAAATTTTCCTGATGCAGGGTCTAACACGAGCAACAGCGATGAATATGTGTCTATCATTTGCCATTTATCTCTTTTGGTAAGAACCCCTTCTTAATCTCGCATAAATCAGTTGCAAATTGACTTTAGGAAGTTTCTTGTCGCTACTAGCCAGAATTGTGAATCACCTGTCTTACGTCATTCTCTAGCACGATTTGATTCCTTTTGCTATTTTTTACCTGATTGTGAGAGTAGGTAAGGTCAGGCTTCTTTTCATTTCCCCCCAACAATGTCCACGCAGAGTTCAAGTTTATTGAAGCTTTAGGAGGATAATGTAGCGTAAATAGTTATCAGCATAAATTGCTCCGTGCCACAAAACTAGGCTCATCATTTTTATATCTCTCGAACTTGCCGATAGCCATTGAAAATGCGATTTGTGTCCATTTTTCTTATCCTCGCATGTGCGCTTATGTAGGGTCTGCTTTTCTTGTCAGAAGTCTCCATGTTCATCTACCTGACGCAAGGTCTTCGTCTATACCAAGTCGCAGTCGGCCTCGATTCTGTCCTCCACCTCATCTTAAGTGTACTCTGGGTCTTTTGCCTGGTGCCTCCAACGCCAGGGCTTCTGATGTAACTTTCATCCGTTCTGCGCACATGCCCGTATCATCGTAGCCTCTGCTTGCATTTTCTGGGCAATTGGAGCTACTTTCATTTGCGCTCGTATAGTGCCATTGCAGATGTGATCCTTCAGTGTGACTCCTAAGGTCCATCGTAACATCCTTGTTTCCATGAAACTGAGCTTGCGCTCCTCGTTCCGCGTACACGGCCAGCACTCACTGCTATACAGTACCGCTGGGCGGATAGCGGTCCGGTACAGTTGGGACTTGAGTTGCAGGCATTCTTCTGTCGCACAGAACTCCAGACAAGGCCTCCATTCCATCCATGCTGTGTTACCTGCCTGTGACCTCCTTTTGTAAACCCCCACCGCTGAGGTGTGACTGCCTAGGTACTTGTACGACGTTGTCTACTTTAGCTCTTCACCATCGATGCTTAGGTACCAGGAGTCTGTTTTCCCACTTCCATAGCTAGACGAAGAGTTTGCGATGCTTGAATCGTTGCTTCTGTGGAATTAGCCGCTTGAGCCGTCTCCATTCACCCTGCTGAGATGGTGTTCGGGCTCGAATGCGCCTCGCTTCTGGGGGACACCCTACCTTTTACTCAAAATTTAGTCTGCATTTCTGATGCGACGGGATGTTTCTCAGCCGGCTTGTCGCATGCCCTTCCTTGGAAGAGCGCTGGAATTATGAGCAGAATTTTGCCGCAGAAATTAGTCAAGGTGGAATCGAATCCGTGACCTTCAGCCCGGTGATGCGTAGAGCACTAACCACTAGACTACTTTGCTAGATTTGTGTCCATTATTGAGAAAAAAAAAAGCTCTGAAATTATTCGTTACTGCATTTAAAGGCAACGTACACCCAAAATCTAAGTTATTCAGTTTTCTAGATCTTTCTTTACCGTGTATATACTGTGCCCAGAAGAAGACCAACTGCGTTGGCCCGGTCTCCCAATGTTGCTTCTGAGCGGAGAAAACCCCCCTCAATTTTCTTTCACTCCGCCTCCCCGGACGAATACGACAGCGTAAGCTGCAGTTGCAGTTGCAGTTGCAGTTTCTGCTGCAACTGCTGTGCATCTGCAACTGCAGTTGCAACAATGCGGTTGCTTTTTGCAGTCCGCCTCCTTCGGACGACGAACCACGACATCATACGCAGCAGTTGCAGCTGCAACTACAGGCTGTCATGATGTTGCAGCTGCTGGCATGCCGACAGGGCCGAGCAGTTAGAAACTCGTCCTCCTTTTGAAGAGAGGGTCCCTAGGAACCGGGTTTTTTTTTGGGATTTTTGGAGGATTTTAGTGTCATAACCGTAATCAGCGGCACGGAAAGGCCTCAGAATGACAAAAACATCGAAGGTGAAGTTTTGGATGTACGCTGCCTTTAAACACTTTTTTAAAAATTTCATCAATCTTATCTAGTCATTTCAGGTGCATTAATAGCAACTTGTGGCAATCCTTGGATACTGATGGCATTGTTTCCAACGGTATAAGGCATAAGTTTTACTTTCTCATTTCTTCAGAGTAATGATTTTTCAGGTTAGGGAAAAAGCTTTCCCTTGTTGGAAAGGGAAGACGACAACTGTCGTAGGAATGGTTTCCACTATCGCAGCAAAAGCAGATTACCAGAGCATGACAAAAACTCATAGTAATTGAAATAAAAAGTCTTTATCTATGTACCGTGCCGAAATGCATACTGTAGTGACAATGTAAAAGCTGAATCCTTATTTCCTTCAAACGTGACTGTGATATAATTCATCTGAAAGATTGTTTCATAGCATGATTAGCAGTGTATTAAGTCAAAGCATAGGTTCTACTCCAGATTTTGAAAGTTTGAGAGAAGTACAGGGTTGGGGAAAAGTCCTTGAACAATTTTTGATGTCCTTGTATGTTCGGCTTTTCCACAAATTTTTGCATGCTAATTACATGCGTTTGCTTCTTATACTCTTGAGTACAAGCTTTCAAAAAACTGGACTATTAGCTTTTTTCCTGCCGGAGATATGCCTTCTGGATTGGAGCGAGCATTGATGGAGAAGATGCACGAGGAGAGGATGGCTGGCCAGCAAATTGCGCGGGCTCCCCAAATTTTACAGATCAGGGTCTTTTCCACCTTGCATCGTTCCTAGGATATGAACAGCACCCAGGGCTGTTGAACGAGTGGTAAATTGGCTACTGCGGAACAGTAACGAAATTCCGAAAATCGTTCGCCAACGCCTTCGTCGCAATCCTCGGCGGAGCTTGCTTGAGCCGGCTTCAGAGCTGTCCATCTCTGGCAGGACAGTCTCCGACGTCGTGAAAGAGCGCCTTGCGATGAAGCTTTCTAGCATGCTGAAATTTCATGCTTTTTGAAAGGACACGAAGCTGAACTGACTGCGCAGATGCCATCGACTGCTTGAACGTCTCTCCAAGGCACGCCACAGAATGGCACTCTTTTCTGACGATAAAATTTTTGCCGCAAAACGGGTTTTCAATCTCCAAAACACCAGAAATCATATCCTAATCGCTCTGAGGAGCCATCAGCAGGGGTTGACTCGCCAAGGGAGAGCCTCATCCGGCTTTCTGATTATTTAGGTAGCGATCACTTCCAGCGGCAAGATGCCCTGGTCTTAACGCCTCAGGGCGTCAAGGTGGACTCTGCTACGTAGTTGGATAGCATTCTGAAGAAGCGACTAATGCCCTAGACCAATATCCATTTTGCAGGGAAAGATTGGTGCTTCCAGCAGGTACCGCACCTGCGCACACAGCGAAGGCTGTTTAAACTTGTCTCCAAAGCAACTTTAAGGTCTTTTCTACTCTTGCGGAATGGCCTCCGTTTTCGTCTGAATCTCCTCGACTGTAGGGTCTGATTATTCTTTAGGCCAAAGCCTGCGCTCACCCACGCAAGACAGAGTCTCTGCGACCTGCTCTTCAGAAGGCGTTGGAAGAAATCGACGTGAAGCACCTTCGTGCCACCATGGAAAGCAGTGGTATCAACGCAGAGTACTCTTCAGAAGGCGTTGGAAGAAATCGACGTGAAGCACCTTCGTGCCACCATGGACAGCGTTCCCAAGCGTTTCCGAGCTTGTGTTCGCGTCGAAGGAGGAATCTTCGAATTTTAAAGCCAGTTTTATGTAGCAGAGAGTCAAGTAAACATTACCTATTGATTTCATGTAATCATCTTGCCTAGCTTCATCATTGCGTCAAAAATACCGTGTTCAAAGACTTTCCCTCCACCCTGTACAAGCTTGATTAAACCGCGTTTATTTCGATTTCTTCTAAACAAGATGAACCTGCAAATACTTTGCTTTTCAAGCTACAGGCTAGTCTTGAATGGCTTCAACCCTCCCATTTACAGCCCCCAATGTTTTTGAAGGATGTCAGCAATGTTGTCTAGTGGTGTGTGCTGGACACACGCTGGAATTTTGCGCGCGCAAGTGGCCGGCGTCAGAGGCGCAGCTATTTGTTCACGCGTAAATTTCGTAAATTTTCAAATTCCCTTCACCGTTAGCAAACCACACTGAGCAGAAAATCCACTCGACTTACAATCTGTAGAACATTTCTGTGATAATCGAGTTCAGAATTTCCTACCCTCCGTAATTCTGCCACAAGAGAAATCATCTCGAAAAGTCTGTTGGAAAAAATAAAAAAGCTGCTTCAGAAGCCTTCAAAATGTTCATCCATTTATACGTTGTGTTTATCAATCATAGATAAGAATATAGCGCAATGCAAGACCAATATTCTGAAGTTTTCTAATAGCTTTTTTGTAAGCAATCAAAAAATCAAAAAATTCATATCTGAAAAGTTGAGCTCTGCATAGCATACGTGAAAGTCTAGAAAACACAACACACAGAACACAGTTACAAGATATGATCATGGGTAAGAAGGTTTTGCTATGATCATAAACTTTGCATTGTCATTGCCTTGCCATACGTTGCCTTTCTCGTCGGTTTCGTATCCTAAGCTCTGAAAAATTCAAAGTAGTGCTCAATACCACAAATGATTTACAAATCAAATCAGAAAATTCACATTGTAGTAATCTATGTACATAGGCGCTGGAGTGGGAAACTGCGGTAGAAACATCAGTACTTCCCAGGGATTATAAAATTGTTGAGCAAACTGTTGAGCGTCCACGACAAAAATCAAGGTGAAACTGAGTACTACCGTATACCACACAGACATTATAAGCTAGGGAGACTGGTCAGCAATGCTTTTTCGTGGCTTTTGCTTTTATATAAGGTAGAAACTTCCTTCTAATAGCATCATCAAAGTTTACGATCTAGCGCAAAGCACTTTGTACGCATGCTCTACGGCCAATTCCAGTCTCCAAGCTTGTCCAAAAACTGTATTTATAGCTTGGAATAGAAAAATTCTTTTCTAAATATCTTTTATTATCTTTCATCCTTTGCTCACGGTCTCAGTAAAACACAAATCTACTGTAGAACGAAACTCTACATTGATAGCATGGATAACCGGTGAGCGATCCTTCAAGTGAAGTCAAAAGATCATTTGAGCGGTTAAACGGTGTATCAAATGCAGGTGTTTTACGAATCACACAAAAAGCGCATGATTGTCCAAACCTACACTTTCTCCGTCATATTCAACACCGCTTAAACTATGAACAACTAATTTTAGGTATAACATGAGTTTTATTACACTTGCAGGAAAAAACGTCAACGTTCATAACCTTCTCAAGAAATTTTTACTCAACTTTAAATCGAGTTGATGGTTGCATCCTCTTAATACAATACCGCATCATAATTCGTCAAAAAAGTCGCCGGACTCCGCCGCACTCTGCCACACTCCACCACAGTGCGGCGGAGTGTGGCAGAGTGCGGTGGAGTGTGGCAGAGTGCGCCACACTCCGCCGCACTGTGGTGGAGTGTGGCAGAGTGCGGCGGAGTCCGGCGACTTTTTTGACGAATTATGAGCGGTATTGTATACAGGGGTCTCCCAAATCCCAAAAGTATGTAAGCACTGTTTGATCGTTAATTTCTCTCTTCCCAAGAAGTCTTTTGTCTTGCTTCAGGTACCGTTTTGTAGAGCTGGCCTGATTTGCATGATAGAACGAATCACCCATCGCTCTTCATTACTGTAGGATTACGGTAGAAACTTCAAAGAGGGTTTTAAGCCATGAAAGCTATATTTTGCCTCAGAAAGAAAGCAAAACAGCCTGAAAGCTTTTACACTAGGCTAATTAGAGTTGCTGATTATAACGTAAAGTTCCCAACTTATTATGATGCTTCATTGAAGAGTTATGCCAGGTATGAGGTAGCGGTCATTTTTTCAATGTTCCTAAAAAGTGCGGTTATACCGTTTAAAAAGCTTCGTTATTCTGTGAATAGTTGAGTATTGAACTCAGCGTCCATAAAAACCATATTACACAAGTTTTCACATTTTTTTGAAAATTTTTGAAATGGCAGCTTTTTCCACATTGACACCATATGTTTCAAGTTTCTAGCGTAATCCTACAGTAATGAAGAGAGATGGGTAATTTGTTCTATAATGCAAATCTAACAAGGGAACGATACTTGGTGTCCGTGGCCTTTTGAGACGAAAGGTATACCATCACGCTCATCTTGGAATGCTGATTCTGAATCTGATTTCCTTTCCTGCTAATCGTTTCTCTAAAAAAAGTTATGAAGGATTTTCGCGTCAGTGGTCGCCCAAGAGAGATACGGTCGAGAATACCTAATTTTCAAAAAGGTGCTTGATTGAGGCAATGCAAAACTGAATAACACAGAAGGACTCGAACCTAAACCTCCATTAACTTGTAAGACTATCGGACTAGCCACTATACCACATTGTAGCTGCGGTTTTGGCATTCCGATGATGTCTCCTTCCGCGCAAAAATCCTTCATACCTTTTTACAAAGAAACGATTAGCAAAAATGGAAGTCAGATTCGGAATCAGCTCTCCAAGACGAGTGTAATGGCATATATTTCATCTCAAAAGGCCACGGACACCGAGTACACTTCCTTGTAAGTTGGAGCCAGCTCTACAAAACGGTACCTGAAGCAAGGCAAAAGATTTCTTGGGAAGAGAGATATTAACGATCAAACAGTGCATACATACTTTTGGGACACCCTGTAAATTTTAAAGGCTAGCTGAGGTCACACCTATGAACTACATCACAAATTCGATCACCTTTTAAAATCACCAAATGTAGGAAGTGCTATATGATTAGCGGAAACAGGTCTTTTTGTTCTGGTCGATAGGAAATCGAAATTAGATTGCTTTGTACAACCTACAACTCCTAACTTCCTAAACTCTGATAGCTTTGTTAGAATCAAGTCAAAGTTCTCTCCAGCTTACATGGAAACTTTATTTTCAGCTGTATAAGGATATTTTCAGCTGTTTAATATCCATATGAAGTGAAGGAAGTAGATTATTACATGCGATGACGAAATTGGCAGTTATCAATAATGTCTATGATGAGCTAATACTCGTTCATTAATCTGAATAGCACCTTGCGATATTCGTTTTTGTCTGACAATATTATGATATGGAAAAAGCATTCGATACCAACGTACAGAATATTTTCAATTTCGTACCTCATAGCTCGTTTTGAAACTAAAACAGCAATGATTTGTGATGTCCTTGCACAACAAAGAGCATAAATTGCATAGTATGCGCTCCGTTACCTTATTCAAGTAGCTATTAGATGTTCTCATTACAGCTCTAGCCCATTCTGCATTCAACGATATGTTAGCAAAGCCAAGCTTGAAACTTTTGAAAGCTTGCTCATCTCTGAACCAGAAACATAGTTTTTAGATTGATGATTGGCGTCGTGACCGTAATTGAAGTGATAGTGGATACATTCATGTTGGTCAGCATATTTCTACATCTTCATTGTCAACTAGTACTTCGCAATATGATCAGAAGAGGAGCGAAAGATAAATTGACTAGTTACTTATATATTCTATATTTTTGTGGTAAGCAACTATTTCACAACTCCTTGTTTTTTTCGTTAACTACATATATGTTATTTATAACAAAGTTGAGATAAGCCTCTGTGAATCATCATGCAATTGCACAATAATTTCGTGAATAGACAAGAGAAGGGAGAAGTTTAGTAGATTTACAAAAGGGAAGGAATTCCCCTATTGCTAATGTCTTTTCGATTTGAATATAAGGTTTTCTCGTGATTAAATACGTTTTTGAAAATCAAATTTGAACCAAAATAACTCTTTTCCATAACAGTCCTTTTTTGCGCAATAAAACCCATACCGCAACTTCTGGCCTATATATTGCACACTTCTGTACAATTTGAGCCATAGAAAAACGATTTCCTAGCCTAAAAGTAGCAAGAGAATTTTTCTGGAAACATCTACTCAAAGAGTGTATCCCCCTCTCACATATACCAGGGTGGCGCGATTCGGCAATTCAAAAAGAAAGTTTCTGACGTTTTCTTCTTTGCAAAACGAGGAAAGCCCATCGCTTTTTTATAAGTTGCACTAAAACTGCTCTAGCTGAGCAGAGCGGAACTGCTGTCGCTTTTCCTCTAGGTATTTGATACTGTACAGAACAGCGAACAGTTAGATCTGAGTCCAAATATCAAGGTTGAAACATTTTCTAAATCGGATCTAATAAGAATTTTGTACCACAGAACTCCAACATTACTATATCTACTTTTCATTTGATTTCGACTATTTTCCTGGATTCAAAGCAGAGTGGGGGAGGAAAAGAATTCCAAGTTTCAATCTCTTATAAGGCACGGAACTCTGGAATGAGTAGAGATCTGCGAAGACGAAAGCATACGTAAGAAAGTGGTAGAAGCGAGTTTCAGATATCATAATCACCTGTTGAAATAAAAGGTTAGAATTACGTGCATCGATTTCGAGGCATCCTAGAACGTTATAAAATAATAATATAGTATAATAATAACGTAAGTTCAAATCTATAGCAGTTGTACTTTCTATACAATACCGCTCACATTTTTTGAAAAAAAGACGAATGTATGGACATGTATGGACATGTACGGACATGTCCATACATGTCCATACATTCGCGTCTTTTTTTCAAACAATTTGAGCGGTATTGTAGATGCAGAAATGCAAGTAAATTTTGCAGATTTGCAGGTTTCGTCAACATCCTCGCTATACTCGACCTAGTCTTTTTCCAAGTCCTACCCAACCTAGTTTGGAGAGAATTCTTCTACAGCTTGGGATCAGCTGGGGCGAGGTTAGCAGAGCACCTTTGTTTTCGCGCTTTCTCATATTAATCACAGAATTTTCAGAATCTATTATATGATCCTTTTCGGTTGCGAAATCTTCATACTACTTTGTGAAGCATTTATCGCCGTTTCCCGATATTTGACATTTATTCGTAGTGACCTAACCAGTAATTACTGGAACACTGATAGAATTAAATACTGGTTGTTGGCAATCGTTGGCGTCTCTGTTGCTTATGCTTCAACTTATTTTTTCTGTGATTTTTGGGTAAGTTCATTCCTGCAATCAGACTGAACTGTAATAGAGAGCCAATATCCCATCAGTCTGAGAGGAGATTAGCTGAATGGCCGCACACGCCACACCCATACAGTATTCCTCACCTAAAAAACGAGAAAAAGCCTTTTCTTGCCATTTTTGGAAGCTATGAGCCGTAGTTCTAAACTCATCACATTGGAAAGTATGAAAATATCTTCAAACTCTTGGCCAAGCTTAGCTTCTAAGCATAATTCCTTTCCTATAATTTCTGGCAAAAACTTCAACAGTTTAGACCGCCTGGGATGCCGATAAGAAGGTCCGCTTTGAATTTGCCTCTGGAAACTTGGACTGGGTTGCATTTTCAATGTTCTTTCCATTCACTGTAGCTACAATTTCATTTCTCTGTTGCTTATATTGCTATTGGAAAGTTGCAACAATATTAAGGGGATCTCAAACGGTAAGCTCTTCAATTTTTTGTGAATAATTGAAATTTTTCCCGCTACAGGGTCTAACGCGACCAACAGCAGTGAAAATGTGTCTATCGTCTGCAATTATCTCTTTTGGTAGAATTTTTTTTTCCAAAGAACGATCAAATCGATTCTAATTTGACTTCAGGAAGTTTCTTGTCGCTACTAGTTAGAATTGTAAATCATCTATCCTACGTCATTCTCCAGCATGATTTGATTCCTTATGCAATTTTTTATCTGATTGTAAGAGTAGGTGGGTTTAAGCTTGTTTTTTTTTCTCTCTCGCTAGCAGTGTCCACACAAATTTGAGATTTCTTGAAGTTATAGGGATTATGTAGATTTACCTTATTCGCAATAGCACCTAACAAAATTAGACAGTTCAATTTCATATCTTTAGATCGCTTACCATTGCTGCCATCAAAAAATTTAAATTATGCCCATTACTGAGAAACAAAAAAAATTCTGGAAACTTTTTGGCCATCGCTTTTGAACAATTTTTGTTTGTATCACTAATCTTTATCAATTATTTAATTAATTATTTCTTGATTATTTTAGGTGCATTGATAGCGACTTGCGGTAATCCTTGGATACTGATAGCACTGTTTCCAACGGTATAAGGAATAAGTTCCATTTCCTCATTTCAAAATAGAGGTTTCCAGGTCAGGGAAAAAGCTTTCCCTTGTTGGAAAAGGAACACTACAACTGCCGTGGGAATGGTGTCCACTATCCCAGCAAAAGCAAATTACCAGAGCATGACAGTAACTCATAATAAATGAAATAAAAAATCGTCAGCTATGCACTGTCCCGATATGCATATTGTAGTGATGCTATAGAAGTTAGTCCTTGGTTGCTCTCAGATATGACTGTGATATAGTTTGTCTGAAAGATTGTTTTATAGCATGACCATTAATGTAACAGTTAAATCCTAGGTTTTACTTAAGAGTCTCTAAAAAGATGTAAGAAGAGAGTCACTTCGATCATGTCTCGCTTGGATTTCGTATCGATTTTGTTTCTCGTTCCGACCTAGTCTTAGATGAACAAACGTTCCTGCTATTACAATATAATACCGCTCACATTTTTTGAAAAATAGACGCGAGTGCATGAACATGTATGAACATGTATGGACATGTCGCTACATGTATGCATCACCGTCGCATGGCCATATATCGCTTCAGAGTGGACGAATTCTGAATCCAAAGCCACCATTCGATTCAGCTCGGCGCGGAGAATCTTCTGATATATTGGAAGTGGGGGTACGATATTCGATATTCCGTTTCCAGTTTTTTCAAATTCTTCTGCGGAGGTCCTTTCACGAATATGTGAAGCAACGCCTCTCCAAATAGAGGACTTTTTTCATTTTTCATTTTCATTTTTACGCTAAGGCGTTCCATAAAAAAACACATCGAGAAGTTAGTAATACATCGGAATGAACAAGAAACGTAAACGAATGCAGACATCACCATGTCAATCCGAGTCTAATCCCAGTCAGCCTAATGTAAGAAAAATGAAAATTGAAACGGCTTGCATCGAATATACTGGTAGGCTATTAGATATGTATACAAGACATTGACAGGCATTGATACTATATCTCCACAACTTATAACTCCAAGGAGATGGGACCCATGCCCCCTCGTTGCCAGCGGAACAATCTTACACTACTCTTAAAAGCAAACCGATAGTTTATAAGGCGGGTCTACTGGCCCAGGATATGATACCCTAACCCCGCCCAGCCGGAATGCTGGGGAGGCCCAGTGACCCCAAAGTGAAAAGATACACATTCAATCCATTCAATCCTTTACTAAGTACTGATCGATAATATTTCTTGTAGATTATTGTGTGCTAAAAGATAGGCTCAGCCTTCTTTCCAAAGGAAATAGAAGCGTTGGCGAATTTTGGAAAAATCACGCGTTTTTAAATTCTACTCGCCATAACTTCCTTCGGAATAAGTATATTTTGAATCAGAAAACAGCGCCTTGTTCAGCTCATTGAGGCGAATCTTTTTATATACAGCATGTCCTCGATATTTCGATTTCAGTATTCTTGAACAGGGCTCGGCACGAGCTGGCACCAGGAAGAATCTCAAACGAAGTCCCCTTTGCTTACAAAAAATTAGCACGAAGTACCCTTTGACCCTTTTTTGCTCCCTTAATTCTCTGCACTTGGCTTTTTGTCCTTCATTATGGGTGGGACTGTGGCCCAACCCGGAATAAAGCGCAAAAAGGCTAAAACAAAAAAATCGAAAAACCTACGGCTCCTTTCTTTCACCCTCCATTCCTCTTCCCTCTCTCCCTACCCCTCCACCCCGCCCTCCCCAACCTCCTCTGCAGATGAGACAAACAAAGAAGTAGAAAATGACAAAAAAGACAGAAGAACAAAGACATCAGAGGTAAACGACAAAGAGCGCCCAGCGACGATGAAGGATTCGCGCGTCAGTTCACAGGAGCGCGCTTTGCGATTGGAGCAAGCTTCAATGAATATCTTTCAAAGGCTGTAAAAAAGCCTGGAGAAGATTGAAAATGTTTTTCCTCTGTATGATAACATTTACAATGAAGATACAATTTATGTAAAAAAGTATGAACTTATGTGAGCAAAGGGTCAGTGCTAGCTCAGCTGGCACCCAGCTGGCACGGTGCCAGCTAATTCAGAAAAAAGTTCAGCACAGCTTTCAATCACATAAGTTTCCATAAATTTTCTAGCCATAGTTAGGGTCCCTCAACGCGCATGCACACACCAAATTTGGTGTCATATGATTCCGTTTTGTTTGTAAACAAGGCTTTTGTTTGTTTGAGGCAGGATTCAAATTCCCGCGCTGCGTTAGAACTGGCACGTCGACGGCATGTTAACAAATGGAGGTACAAAGACTAAGCATGCCGCCGGAATGCCGGTGGCTTGCCCGCCACGGGCCGGCGGCGTGCCCCTGGCATTCTAGCAAATGCGACATGCTAACCCGCAAAAACGATATCCCCTCTGCTTTCCGCCCAGAAACGATATCCAGCTTGACCCGGTGCCAGCTGTAAAACAAGCCCTGTTTTTGAATCTTTCTGAGGACGTCTTTTCGCGAAGGTGTAAAGCAGCGAGCATCGTCCCGAGTATATTCCAGCAAGGATCTTTCGATAGCACTTTTTCTGTACATTATGATATGCTAAATAGTAGCTGCAGGTTTCTTTTCAAAGGAAATAGAACGGCTAGTAAATTGTGGAATAATCTTGTCTTCCCAAATTCTACTCGCCATAGCCGCAGGATACGAAGCTATCTTGCTAAGCAGGTGTGAGTTTCGAAATCAGCTCGCATAACCTCTACGAGCAAGTTTTCCGTTATGTTCGGGTTATTCCATTTATCTCGTTTTACGCTCCGAAAGCTCGCCGATGGATTTTGGTCAAAATGTTGGTGCTCTTGAATTGTAAGGGCACTTCGCTTATAGAGATTTTCGAACACGCTGTTTACGAAAATCGTGGTCTTTGATTACAGGGTCTTTTTGGAGAGATACGGTGAGGTGACTGTAACATCACAAAAGTGCGCAACTTTGCCCGCACTTCTCGCGTATCTGTCAGAAAACTTGCCTGCTTGCTTTTCTAAGTCAAAGTTACTAGGAATTGTGCTATCGAATGGAGCATGACTCAGGCTCGAGTCTGTGAAATTCGCCGAGTTACGAGCCTACGACAACACGTCCTCATGAATTTTGCCCAAAATGTAAAGATCGCATATTTCGCCGAAATTCCTCCGTGAGCGCTTGTATGACGCTCGTTGCAGATATTATGTTCGCTTCGTCCAACGACTCCCACTGTATTGAATATGGTGCTTGCGTGTGCTTCAGCTGCTCAATTGAATATCATAGCTATTTCGTGGCTAGAGCTCAAAGCACCAAATCTAACATAATAAGATTCACTAAAATGTGGAAGGATTTGATCAGCGTGTTGTACAAGCCGTCACGGAGGAATTTCGACGAAATATGCGATCTTTACATTTTGGGCAAAATCATGAGGACGTGTTTTCGCAGACTCGTAACGCGGCGAATTTCACAGACTGGAGCCTGAGTAATGCTCTAGCCACCATTCGATAGCGTTTCTGACAGATACGCGAGAAGTGCGGCCAAAGTTACGCACTTTCGTGATGCAGTTACAGTCACCTCACCGTATCTCTCCAAAAAGACCCTGTAATCAAAGACCACGATTTTCGTAAACAGCGTGTTCGAAAATCTCTATAAGCGAAGTGCCCTTACAATTCAAGAGCACCAACATTTTGACCAAAATCCATCGGCGAGCTTTCGGAGCGTAAAACGAGAAAAAATGGAATAACCCGAACATATCGAAAAACTTGCTCGTAAAGGTTATTCGACCTGCTGATTTCGAAACTCACATCTGCTTAGCAAGTTAGCTTCGTATCCTGGGGCTATGGCGAGTATTTGGGACGACGAGAATTTTCCACAATTCACCAGCCGTTCTACTTCCTTTGAAAAGAAATCTCCGGCTACTATTTAGCACCAGAAAAAGTATTATCGAAAGATCCTTGCTGGAATATACTCGGGACAATGCTCGCTGCTTTACACCTTCGCGAAAAGACGTCCTCAGAAAGATTCAAGAATACTGAAATCGGAATATCAAGGAGATGCTGTAAATAAAAAGATTCGCCTCGATGAGCTGAGGAAGGCGCTGTTTTCTGATTCAAAATATACTTATTCCGAAGGAAGTTATGGCCAGTAGAATTTAAAAACGCGTGATTTTTCCAAAATTCACCAACGCTTCTATCTCCTTTGGAAAGAAGTCTGAGCCTATCTTTTAGCGCACAATAATCTACAAGAACGGTATTATCGAATAGTATCAGTAAAGCTTCTATGTTGGATAGGCGTTGCTTCACATATTCGCGAAAGGACCTCCGCGGAAGAATTTGAAAAAACTGGAAACGGAATATCGAAGGTACCCCCACTTTCAATATATCAGAAGATTCTCCGCGCTGAGCTGAATCGAATGGTGGCTTTGGATTCAGAATTCGTCCACTCCGAAGCGAGATGTGGCCATGCGACGGTGATGTCCATAGATGTAGCGACATGTAGCGACATGTATGGACATGTCGCTACATGTACGGACATGTAGCGACATGTCCATACATGTCCATACATGTTCATACATTCGCGTCTATTTTTCAAAAAATGTGAGCGGTATTGTACTTTGGTTTTCGACTTCGTTTTTTGAACTTCTCAAATAAATTGTGCCGCAAATATGATGAAGTACAATCTACATTCAACAAAAAAGATGTATAATATGCCTACTTTGGGAAAAAGCCAACAAACTGCGAATTCTTCTCGTTTCACTATTTACATGTTTTTTCAACTTTCTTTTCTTCGCAAAAAGTTCAGACTTACTGCATTGCAGAATTCAAACAAATAGAGTAAAGTGACGTTCTGTCAACTCAGATCAAACAATTGACCTCGAGATAAAAAAATTGCAAAGTCCCCGCTTTGGGAGTTACGTTGATCTTTGACACGATTCGTCATGAAAATCGTCTAGTTTTTCTCTTTCTAACTGCGTTCTAGTTTCCCGTGCAGCTCACACAGGAACCTCTAACTGTAGCGCGCTCTCACAACTTTAGAAAACGCTAGGAGGACAAAAGTGTTCATCGGTGGCATAAACTGATTGTGAGCAGATATTCATGGACAATTTGACCTTATAGTGAGAACACATGTGATTGCAGATATGTGTTGAATAGGCGTCAACAAAATTAAAAGACAAGTTCATACCGCTTCAGAATCCACTATTGTTTGCACAAAAAAATCATACTG